CCCCCCCAAGTGTGACAAGTTTGTAGCTTGCCAGTTTGCAATATTGCTGCAATGAAGTTTATGGCCAATTATTATATTTGCGAGGCTGCAAATTACTGCTGATGGTCCCAGCCTGCTCCCTGATCCTTCCTGCCTCGTATTTTGCTTTTTTCTAGACAGATGGGCACATTTGCAAACAAAGTTGTGGGCTGCATCCACTCGCTGTTTTAATTCTTCTAAGAATGAAATCCACCTGAGGTGGAAAGGCATTACTGGAAATAAATATGCTTGGAAGTTGGCATCTTTGCTTTGTGGCATGTTAGCTTCCCATTCATTTATTGAATACACATCATCCTTTTAAAAAACAAACTCAGACGAGATATGGAACAGGCTGAGGAAAGCACCCAGAATTATCATGTACAAGTAGCCCCCAGTTTAAAAACGACTTGTTCTTGTTCTTAAGTTGAATTTGTATGTAAGCCAGAAGAGTATAGATAGTCCTCGCTTAAGGACCATTCATTTAGTGACCATCTAAAGTTATGACAGTGCTAAAAAAGTGACTTATGACTGGTCCTTGCACTTATGACTGTTGCAGTGCTCCTCCGGTCACATGATTGCGATCTGGGCACTTAGCAACCAGCTCGCACTTACAATGGTTGCAGTGTCTTGGGGTCACTTGATCCCCATTTGAGACCTCCCCAGCTGGCTTCCAACAAGCAAAATCAATAGGGAACCACGTGATTCCCTTAACGACTGTGATTCTTTGCTTAATGACCGCCCTGCTTAATGATGAATTTTCCAGTCCCTATTGTGGTTGTTAAGCGAGGACTACCTGTATTATTGTATAATTCTGTATAAATAGTATTGTGTAATTAACTTGAACCTTGTGTATTTAACTCAAATCATTGTGTATTTAACTCGAATTTTGCTACAGTAGGCTCTGTTCTTAACTATGAGTCGTCTTTAAACCAGGCATTCTTAACCCAGGGACCACTGTAGTTGATGACTCCTGTTGCCCAGAACTGTCTACTCGTTTTGAGTAGCAGCAGATACCATGTTTTCCAGATGAACCTTTTCATTGCTTTCTCTAAATTTTAAGCAGAGATTTTTGGGCTGACCTTGGGACCTTAGCAAGCAGGGCAGATTCTCTGCCATTCCTCTGGGCTCAGCCTTCAGTCTCCAAAGAATGCAACCTCGGGCCAAATATTTATTTTTTAAAATTAATTAATTAATTAATCAATCAAATTTTGGTCACTGCCCATCTTGCTGAACAGCTCTTATACTTCTCTTTGTTAAATTCTGCCTGTACCCCTTTCTTTGGCAACCACGGCTTTGTGTCGGTAGCTTGTGAGTCCTTCTAACCAAAGGAACTGGAGGTCCTAATCCTGTCCCTTCATTAAGCAATGGATTATCAGTCCTTAAGATGAGCTTTTTCATCCTCATTTTGCTGTTTCAAGACTTATTTGCACTGCGCGCTTGGCATTTCAGGTTTTGATTTGCCCTCGGTCTAATCTTCTTGCCTTTTTTCCCCTTTTCAGTTCATTTTGGCAGTGGATCACCACTCAGATAATAAGGATCGCTGGAGGTCAGTCACTATCAAAAGTCCTTCCTTTTTAAGCTTTAGGGGCATTCTGGTCTGATCTGTTCTTCCCCAGTGGCTTAGAAAATGTTATCTTTCGTATCGGGTCCATCCAATTTCGGTGCCAAGAAAAGAGGAATCCTGTGACCTGTATAGGTAATGAACATTTAAAGCAATCTCCTTCAACCCATTGCATTTTGCCTAATCTGTTTATGATGAAGTTTGGAGTGGAATTACACTGATGTGTCTCCAGAAACACAATGGAAAAATCTGGGCAGAATCTGGGTTAATATGCAAGAGGAGGAATTAAGGAGACATTTGATTGTTTCTCAGTTTTGACACAGAGGGACATCTCTGTTATTCATGCAATGCAGAAAGGCTAGTGTAGTGCCAGAAGTGTGTACAAGATAGGGCAGTGATGGAGAACCTATGACACATGTTTCCAAGGTGACACACCACGATGTTTTGGGTGACACGCCAATGTTCACCAACACCCAACAACAACTATTCTCCCTGCTTGAGTTACCAAAGACATTGAGTTTGTTTTACTTGTATTTCATTTTTGTAATTATTGGATGTTTCTTTATATAATACCTATCACCATGCATGATAGGACTGCAATTTTTTTTAAATAAATGAATATGTAAATAATTGTTTCTCTTTTGTTCAGTGGAGGGTGACATGCCAGCAGAGTCAAGTTAGGCATTTCCGAATTTTTGACATGCTGAGCCCAAAAGGTTCGTCATCACTGAGATAGGGTCAAAAAGTCAGGATGGAAGAAAGATACAATTCTGACAATATCTGATCAGGAACTTAAACTTGGGGAATATGCAGCAGTGACAAAATTAATAGCATATATTCACAACAGGGTTTTGAATTCTGCATCCTGTAGGAAGCAGAACATCTGCATATGTATGACTTCTTGTTTTTAGTAAAACAGCTTGCCTCATTGTGTGGTTTCTCAGCACTCTGAGTATAGAGTTAAGGGTCTGGAGATTTGAGATTTATTGCCTGGTATGAAGTCTGCCAAGAAGAGGGAGAGATCTGCATGTCTGGGGGAACCCAGAAGTTTCCAGAAGTTTAGGGGGAAAAGAGGGGGGGGGGGGGAGGAACTTGTCTAAAAGTGGCCTAGTAAAAACCAAGCTTGATCATTGGGCTAAGGATTTTTGCTGACTGCTAGAGACAAGAACCAACCAAACTGAAATTGTGATGTGGGAAGTTGAGGAAGAGAAGATGGAATAGAGTAGCCTTGAAAAGGACATGGCTGGCTGGAGAGAATGCATGGCTTTTGGAATACATGACAAATAGCCAGCCTATCTTCAATCACACATTTCCAGTTCAATCTTTGGCAAGATTTCCAGCACACCTTGGTGTATTATTTGAAAATGTTTTCAATTCTTGCAAAATTCTTGAATGTTAATCTTCTTAAAACTCAAATGTTGTTTTTTCGTTTTTGTTTTTCCCTGTTAGTGGTACAAACCTATTTTGGAGGCACCATGAGTGGTGAACCGCCTTCAGAGGACAAGCTTCTGGAGCTGAATGTCCATTCCCATTTCATCATTGGCTCTGTTTCGGAGGATAACTCTGAGGATGAGACAGGCTCCTTGGTGAAAATTGACCTGCTGGAAGACAAAGACCAATCAATCTCACCGGTCTCTATCAGTTCGGACTCTCTTTCAGACCTGGGTTCTTCTAGTGCTCAAGAGGCTCTTCATATGAGGTAGAGCAAAATTAAAATCCACATTTCAAATATGGGATTCTTTAAAATGTCTCCCTTTCTTTTCTTGTTGCTCTAAAGGATCTTGCAAGTTCAGTAGTGACTCACAGAAGGGGAAGCAGAAGAAAAAGATGGATCCCACTTTTGAAGGTCTTGGTGGGCATATGGTTCTATGACTCAGCCATATGGAGGGAACCTGGTGCCTATCCTGGCATGATCTACAGTTTGGGGATGGACTAGGGGAGCAAAGTATTCTTGATGATTTTGTTTTTAAAGAAAGTTTAAAGGAACTTTTATTTTTCCCCCTTTGGTTAGAAGTGTCAAAAACAGATCAGAGAGTGCTTTGAAAAAGTTAAGTTTGGGTATGTGTGTATATTTATTTTTATGCAGTAAATTTTATTTTATGCCGTAGAAGGGCCAGCCAAAATGGTCTCAGATGTTTTCAGGTTCTCCTAAACTCTCCGTTAGGCTGAGTTAACGGAAGAAATCTGAAGTCCGGTTAATCACTGGTGAGTCACTTGCAAATTGGGTGCTCAAGAGAGCAAAGTATTAAGCCCTTTGGCGTCTAACTCATACTACAAGTGATTTATTCCAAGCACAATTCTCACAGTCTCTTTAGTAAGATGTATTGAGAAGAAAAGGATGAGGTTACAAGTATTTCACCAATTGAACTTTTATCAGTTTAGATCCAATATATCCTGCTGTGTATTAGGGCAGAGATGTTCTGATTTTCTTTCTAACAGCCTTCAATGAAATGGGAGGTCTTTTTATTGATAATGGCGAAGGCTTATAGCTGGTTGTTTATATAGTGGTCTGTGGAGTCCTTGGTGCTCTCTGAGCTTGGTGGTTTGCTTGCAGACGTTTCATTACCTGACTAGGTGACATATATCATCAGTGCTAGTGAGTGTGGAGTTTGCTCCCTGTTTATACAGTCAGGAGCAGAAATATTGGAACAAGAATAACTGTTTTGGCATTTGGCCTCTGTACACCACCACACTGAAGTTGAAAGGAATCATGCCCAGATGGGAGCGAAGTCAGGACTTTCAGCTATAATTCAAGGGGTTTGACAAAAGTGGGGCACTAACCATTCAGGAAGTACGGCCAGTGGCATACACACACCCACCATCCTGTTTTGGCATTTGGCCTCTGTACACCACCACACTGAAGTTGAAAGGAATCATGCCCAGATGGGAGCGAAGTCAGGACTTTCAGCTATAATTCAAGGGGTTTGACAAAAGTGGGGCACTAACCATTCAGGAAGTACGGCCAGTGGCATACACACACCCACCATCGTTGGTGGCTCATAAGTAATGGAACAGATCAACAACATGACAAACATAAGGATCACCTTTAATACCTGGATGAAAATCCTTTGCAGTCAATGACTGCCTGAAGTCTGGAACCCATGGACATGACCAAATGCTGAGTTTCCTCCCTCAAGATGCTTTGCCAGGGCTTTACTACAGCTGCCTTCAGCTGCTGCTTGTTTGGGGGTCCTTCTGCCTTCAGTCTTGTCTTCAGTAAATGAAAAGCATACTCTGTTGGGTTGAGATCAGGTGACTGACTTGGCCATTGAAGAACATCCCAGTTCTTTGCCTTGCAAAACTCTTGGATAGCTTTTGCCATATGTTTTGAGTCATTCTCCATCTGCAATATGAAGCGGCGTCCTATCAGTTTGGCAGCATTTGGCTGAATCGGAGTAGAACATATAGCCCTATACACTTCAGATTCATCCTGCTGCTTTTATCAGCAGTCAGGTCATCCATAAACACCAGTGACCCAGTTCCATTGACAGCCATACATGCCTGTGCCATAACACTGCCTCCACCATGTTTGACAGATGATGTGGTATGCTTTGGATCATGAGCGGTTCCTTTCCTTTTCCATACTTTTCT